CAAATTAGGTGATTAATATGCACAAATATTTATCGAAAACAATCAATCTCTGCATAGTCCTTGAGTATGTAAGTACCAAGTTTCATTGAAATGTAATGCTAACTACTTATATAAAATGCTGAAAATTAATTAATTATGCAAATTAGGTAATTAATATGTACTGATATTACCATAAAAACTATCAGGTCTGTGCAGTGTCGTATGACATCTATGTACCAAGTTTCATTGAAATGTGATGATTAGTACTTGAGATATCAGTGGAAAAACCGAAAATTGACTAATCATTATGCAAATTAGGTAATTAGTATCCACGGATTATTACCAAAAACTAATCAAAACCTAGCATTAGTTCAGAGCATCTATGTACCAAGTTTCATCAAAATCCAATGAGTGGTTCTTTAGATATCAGTGGAACAGTCATGGAACCACTAAAAAATAGCTAATTATCATGCAAATTAGGTAATTAATATGCACGGATTTTTACCAAAAATTAATCAAATCTGCGCATATGTTCAGAGCATCTATGTACCAAGTTTCATCAAAATCCAATGAGTGGTTCTTTAGATATCAGTGGAACAGTCATAGAACAGCTAAAAATTAGCTAATTATCATGCAAATTAGATAATTAACGAGCATGGATTTTTACCAAAACCTAATCAAATCTGCGCATTGGCCCAGAGCATCTATGCACCAAGTTTCATCAAAAACCGATGTATGGTTCTTGAGATAGCAGTGGAACAGTCGGACACACATACACACACACACACACACATACACACATACAGACACACTAACTGCAAAGACTCCCATTTTGTGCTTCGCACATGGGAGTCAAAAAATCACATTAACAAACCTTGTGCGAAGGTGGCAAAAGTATATTCTAAAACAAGTTTCAAATAAAAACAAACACATCTGCATTGCTTAGTAGCAAGTGATCGCAATGATGCAATCCGGTCATGCTGCGTTTCATAATTGTTGATTATTACTCAGTAGTGATTATAACGTGCAAAAAATGAATTCGTTATGAAATTGTTATCATAACTTATGAAATGCAAAAATATTTAAACTTGTATCATCGTAAGTGAATGATTCCGGTCACATTTTGAACGCTTGACGCTATAAAAATGAATGTCCGCCATGTTTTGACCTGGGGCGTTTTTTGGACCTGACAGGACAAATTGCTAATTAACCAATCAAAATGATGGATGATGCCAACGTGTTCAAATTACCATAGCTCATTCAAATATGTTAATGTTATTGAACGCAGCACGGAAGAGATTTGTCGATGTTGTTGAACGATCTTTTGGCTTGAATTTTGATGGGAAAGCGACATGAATAGTTTTTAAATAAAAAAAATAGTTGTTTTCAAAAGATAAACTGAGCATTTGAAGAATAATTTAACATTATTTACAGTGATAACAGCTCATTGTTGAAACGAAGCTTACCCATTCACGCTAGTCGCAATAAACATCGTACTCTTGAATAAGTATCAATGACTACGGTTAAACTTTTAGGCATCAGAATTAGATTAAAACAAGTCATTGAAAATGACACAGTCCCCGTTAAGTTCTCCTTGTGCTCGTCATATTAAAGCGGAGGGGTTGTCGCAAGCGTGTCCTTGAGTTCCAAGGTGCGTATACAACAGATTGTTTATTTACATCAAAACATGTGTTTCGTGTCATAGTAATATGGCCAAAATAAAAACAGCCATTATTCAGCCATCTTTGATCTGATTATGAAACACACTGATATGTATGATGTATGTGCCAATTACGAATGAAAA